TAGAAATGCATGTTCAGGTGAACTCAAATGCCAATAGAGTTTAGACAGATAAATTAAGTGAGTTAAGCAGCTAGGTATATAATGACAGGGAGTGGAGGAGACTATGGCATGGTGGAGACTATCGCTGAGGCTCAATGAAAAGGAAACACCACTAAGCTCCAGCCAATTTCATAGCAAACTCTGTCCTAGAGTTGCCAGACTTTCCCATTTATTAGAATAAGCCATTCATCTGAGTTTTTCCATATATATAATGAATGTAATTTATAAGTATATGTTATGTATATTATTTATATGTGTATTTAATATATATGTTATTTATATAGGTCATTATATATATAATTAGACACTAATTCTTAAGACAAAACAAAATTGTATTGTTCAATACTACTGGACACATAAAAATTATTTTGAGTCATATTGAGTCATACCTAGTATATGGATGACTAATTATGAGACTCTGCTGGATTGTGGAGGGCAAAAACTGCTAAAAACTGAAGTCTTTGCATTTTATCTTATAATTATTTAAGGTTATAGACCAGAGATGCAACATAAGGATACTAAATAAACATGTTTTAATCTGGCTACAAAATGTAGGATATTTTTACGTGAAGAATATTAAATGAAAGGGACTTGACAGGATTTATTGCTATTAACATTTTTAAAATTATTTTTAGATAAAATTCATTTTAAAAGTCTATGGTTCAAGCTGGCTGTAAGAAAAATGTATAAGAACATTTTGGAAGTATTTGTTGGTTCTAGATTCTTTTCAACTCTCTAATGTGTCTGTAAGAAGAAAAATTGCAACCATATGGTTCTTCTCTATTCTATTAGGGGAAGGATTCTGGGTACAGATTTTCCAGTTTGGGTTTGATGGAGTACTTGATGAATAACCCTTTGCTTGTCTTCACTGCAAGTTGCCAGCAGTGGATGCCACCCGGATATCTTGGTCAGGTTTATTTATGTGCCTGCTCTGTTTTGGTCCATGAGGCTGGCTGACATTGAAACCAGGTGGAGTTTGGTGGTTTGCAACAGATGCTTTGGGGACTGCTAATTTCTGAATTTGATAAGAGCCCATAAATCACATCTGAAAAATACTGTTTTCAGTCCCCTCTTGGTTTAGGTTTTTCCCCAAACCTAGCGTGAAAGAACTAAAGTTGGTGTAGGAATGTAACTTCTAAGCCTTCACATTAAAATTGATAAGGTTTGTTATTTAACTAGAAAAAGTCAATATATTTCCTCTCTCCTATCAGGAGATCCTGACAAATGAATAAGCTTCATAACGGAAAAATTGGGCAGAATAAAAAATACCACATGGAGATGACAAAATTATGCCTCTGTCAGAATGAAATGCAGTGTTCCAGATGTTGCCTACATTTCACACAAAGCCGACTGCTAGGGCTTATGAACAGTGCAAATTCCTGCAATGTAACAGGGCAGCCCTGCTTCCTAATGCTGAGGAAATACTTAGAAGATCATCAAATCTTGAAAATGTGCTAATGAGCCACAAAGTCTGATTAAAATCAAAGGTGCAATGTTCCAAAAACACTCTGTGATTTAGATAAGCAGGGCTTAGGTTTTATCATTGATTACAGTACTTTAAGGCAAATTTTGCAGTGTTAAGGAAGTCTCGGTCATAAAAACAATTCACAAAAGCTCCTTATTAAGTGATTTTCAGGAAGCAGGGTCAAGACCTGAGAACTGTATAAGGGAAAAGGAAAAAGAAAGGCCACCTATGTACAGACCATTCACTTGCTAAAATGTTAACTATTAAGGCTTCATGACACAAAACATGACATTTCCAATTACTTAATTTGATGATTATTTATAAATAATAAGTCCGAGTGATGAGCAGATGTGGACAAAGATGAACATCTTCTGTTATTTAATTATGGAGGATAGAATAGTTGAAAGTATTTTTCATAGTATCTCTATGGGAGGGAAAATGCTCACATATTTCAGCTTTGGTTAAGATCAAGCTGATCTAATTAGCATTTTCATCTAATTTATTGTTCAGAATTCCCTTTAGTAGGGCATGCTTTTGATAAATTTCAAGAAAAACTGGAGAAAAGTCTGGAATTAGACATATAAAAAAAAGGAGAATATTTCTCCAAAGATAAGTCAAAAAATCATTTGAAAAACTAAAATGACAAAATTGGAAAGTCATAAATTATAGTTACATTAATAATGAGACTTACAGAACAGCCCACAGTTATTCTATACTTATTATATTTGGGGCACAGGATATGACTTACCTGGATAATTTTAATTAAAGTTATATACAACTAATTAGAGGAAAAAGACTTCTCCATCTTCTGAATGAATGAATTTTGTACCCAATATTGGTTAGTTATCTCATAGGCCATTATAAATCATAGAGGTATTGACAAACTTGTAATTAAAGGCATAAATAACTTTGCTTTATTTTTATTTTCTTATTTCAGATTATAAGAATTGATTGTGAACAGGGTTCCTACAATACACTTCACATCCTGGACAGTTTAGAATTTCATTTCTATTTCTTTGCTTACAGCTCATATAAACTCTATCCTATGGAAAATAAAACTGTAAGCTTGGTACCTCATACAGACATTCTGACCATAACAGTGTGTCCAAAGGACATTACTAATATGAATAGAAAATTGAGACAGAGGCAAGATATATGTAAGATCCTGGTAGACCTGACCTATTCAACTCCCTGAAGGAAATTTTCATTTGGCTAAAAAGAGAACCCCTAGTGCATTCTTCTTTTACTTATAATTCTATTCTTGGAAAGTAGAAAAAAAAATATCAGATATCTCTGTACTTGATTTTGACCAACAAGAAGACCAGTCATATTTAGTTCATGGAAAGGACGCAGAACTACCATTAACACAATTAATCAATATATTTATTTCCTTAACTAAATATATCACCATACGTCATTATGTGGTGTGTGGTACATATCATATGACAACTACCAAGGCCGTATTTGGAACACCAGTGGCTTTTGAGTTGTTACAGAAATATAATATTAACAGTTATAGGTATAATATAGAAATATACTATCATCAACAGGTACCGACGGACCCTCTCCATCTTTCCTTAGCCTATCTTCAATGTTCCACTATTTTAGAAATGTTTTTAAAGAGATTATGAAAAAGCCTTGTGCCAAGATTCACCAATGATTTTCTAGATCAAGCTGTTAGGAAAACAGTGACATTAATCATCAATTCTGTACCAACTGAGTGGTATGCCTCTTCAGAACTACTCCCCACTGAAGGTTGATTCCACCATTGGTGGGTTTCCCTTAGTCATTTAAATTTAAGAAGCAGCTCCCTCTCCTGTCCCTGCAAAATCACCCATCCTTATTCCTTCTACCACTTTAACAAAACATTGTACATATCATCCGAATTTGATATGCCCTCTCCATAACATAAAGAACAATTCTCTAGGTAGAATTAATGCCTTAAATATGGAATTTCAAATATTTTAGTAATCATGGGTGCACCATCACCCTAGTGTTGAGTTAATTAGTAAGAAAAATTCAAACTGAGGATTTCACAGAATGCAAAGGGTTTTCACAGGAAAAAGTTCTGCCATGATGATTTATAAAAATAATTGATTTCCCTTATTCAAATTATATCCATTTTTTTCTAAATCTGTATGAAATCAAATGCTTCTGTAAGTTTGTTGGAGAAATGTTAATAGTGTTTAATATAAGAATGCCATTTTACTGAGTGATTCAAAATAAGCATTTACTTCCCTATTTAAAAATAGGGGCGCCTGGGTGGCTCAGTCGGTTAAGTATCCGATCTTGGCTCAGGTCATGATCTCGAGGTCCGTAAGTTCGAGCCCCGCGTCGGGCTCTGTGCTGACAGCTTAGAGCCTGGAGCCTGTTTCAGATTCTGTGTCTCCCTCTCTCTGTGACCCTCCCTGTTCATGCTCTGTCTCTCTCTGTCTCAAAAATAAATAAAACGTTAAAAAAATTTTTTTTTAATTATTAGGGGCGCCTGGATGGCTCAGTCAGTGAAGCATCCGACTTCAGGTCATGATCTCATAGTTTGTGAGTTTGAGCCCCGTTTCGGGCTCTGTGCTGACAGCTCAGAGCCTGGTGCCTGTTTCAGATTCTGTGTCTTCTCCTCTCTCTGCCCCTCCCATGCTCATGCTCGCTCTCTCTCTCTCTCTCTCTCTCTCTCTCAATAATAATAAACATTTAAGAAATTTTTAAAAAATATTAAACTGGGTGCTTCAACCAAAACACAATTCTCATTCCATATTTCTTTTTGTTATGTATGTATGTATGTATGTATGCATGTTTATTTAATTTTGAGAGAGAGAGAAAGAAACTGCGGTTGCTGGTGGGGAAGAGGCAGAGAGAGAGGGGGACAGAGGATCCAGTGCAGGCCCTGCCCTGACAGCAGAGAGCTGATATGGGGCTCAAACTCTCAAACAGCAAGATTATGACCTGAGCCAAAGTCGGACGCTTAACCAACTGAGCCATCCAGGTGCCCCTCATTCCATATTTGTCAAGTAATCACCGAAGATTCTTAAGATTTTGAAGAGCAAAATGTTTGCAAACAGACTGTAAAAGACAGTACAGAGCATTTCTCTGGAACCATAGGACCAGTTTCCTGTTTAAGCAACATAAGCAAAAACCTGGGGTACCAATGATACAGCTGAAAGAGGATTTGGAAACTATTACGTACTTATAACATCTGGCCCAATTATATATCCTAACAGTTCTGGCATTAATAAACATTCATAAGTGGCTAAGGCCTGTAGCTAATTTATGTAACACATATTTATAAAACACTTACCTTTCCCAATAAATATGTTTACTGCTAGAAATAAATTTGAAATCATCTAACCACAAGAGGCAAGCACCTATCAGATGGTGGAGCAACCTATTGCTTAACAAACAACACAAGCAGAGATCTTCTTTCCACGTGTATGAATATTTGGTAGCCACAGAGATTCAAATATCAGGGATAGTGAAGCTGTTACTGGGGACTGAGACTTACCAGTACTTGTAAGGAAGTTAACATTTCTCATCACACCTTCAGTGTAAGCTCCTGGCTCATAACTGTCCATTTCACCTGTGACAATATGAGCAAGTCTTGCTGCCCGTCCTCTGATGGCACCTGCAGCACGGTCTAAGTTATCAGCATCCTGGTCTCTCAAGGCTATGATACATTTGTTGACATCTTCTAGGATATGGCTCTCTGCAAGTAAACAGATCAAATTAGCATTGCATATTACAACCCGTATTAACTTCTGACCTCAGAGGTGGTACCCAATGGGAATAAAGGACATTGACAATTATGAAAGAAAAAAAAAGCATGTTTTTGCTTTTATCTCTTTAATAGCAAAATTTGTGAAATATAAAATTTTATATTTTTATCTGTACTTTTAGAAATGACATCTTATTTTATTTTTTAAATAAATTGTGTATTTTATTATTATATTTTAAATAAATGTGTATTTTATTTATTTTGAGAGACAGAGAGAGAGAGCACACACCAGGGGAGAGGAAAGAGAGAGAGAATCCCAAGCAGGCTCCACATTGTCAGTGCAGAGCTGGATGCGGGGCTCAATTCCACAAACCACGAGGTCATGACCTAGGCTGAAATCAAGATCAGATGCTTAACCAACTGAGCCACCCAGATGCCCCAGAAATTACATATTATTTTAGATTTCAGTTCCAACTGACTCAATTTTAGATTTGAGTGACTGATCAGTACGAATTGAGGAAAATTTCTAGATTAAAATAGTGGAATGATGGAATGATGGAATGCTTAATTCTGATTAAAAGCAACACTATACAGGTTATAAAACACTTAAAAATATCAGGTATCCCAAATATATAGAAAAAGAAAACCATGGAGTTCCATTCAACTGATGTTCACTTCCCCACATCAACAAGCAATTCTCTGGACACCAAATTAGTGTTCTACGATTCAATTCCAACACTCACCACCCAGTGATAGCATCACATTCCATAGGTTAAGGGTTCAGTCCTATGAAACTGTCCCCCTGCCCGACCTCAGAGCCCGTTGTAGGCCCAGGTTGTTATGTGTACTTCTGACCCCACTGGCTGGCCACAAATCAGGTCCCACGACCTCCTCCTTGGGTTTGTTTAAGTTTCTAGAGCATCTCACAGAACTCAGAGAACCATTTTACTTTCTAGATTCAGCTTTTATAACTCAAAACAGCCAGATGAAAATTCCATAAAGCAAAATATGTGGGAAGGGCAAGGAATTTCCACGCCTTCTCCAGGTGTGCCATTTTCCACACATCCCCAAGTATTCCCAACTTGGCCTCTCTCCAAAACCTGTCCTTTTGGGGTTTTATAGGGGCTTCATTACACAGGCATGATTAATTAAATCACTGAATCACTGGCCTTTGGCACTTGATTCAACCTCCAGTCCCTCTTCCACCCCAGAGGCCACAGGATGGGACTGAAATTCCATAATTGCAACCTTCTAATCACAAGGTTGATTAATTACCCTGGCAATCACCCCACAGTGGGATGGGGGGTGGGATACAAATGTCACCTCATTAACATAACAAAAACACTTTTATTGCTCTCATCATTTGGGAAATTCCAAAAGTTTTAAGGTTCCATGCCAGAAATGGGACAAAAACTATATATATACATATATGTTTATATGTGTATATATATATATATATACATACATATATATGTAGATATATACATATACATGTATATACATATACATGTGTATACATATACATATACATGTGTATACATATACATATACATGTATACATATACATGTATATGCATATGTATATACATATACATATATATGTATGTATATATACCTGTTTATTTTTGAGAGAGAAAGAGACAGTGTGAGCAGGGGAGGAGCAAAGAGAGAGACAACAGAATCTGAAGCAGGCATACATACATGTATACACATATACATGTATATAATATACATATACATGTATATTATATACATGTATATACATATGTATATACATATACATATATATGTATGTATATGTACCTGTTAATTGTTGAGAGAGAGAGAGAGACAGTGTGAGCAGGGGAGGAGCAAAGAGAGAGACAACAGAATCTGTTTTTTTTTTTGTTTGTTTTTTTCAACGTTTATTTATTTTTGGGACAGAGAGAGACAGAGCATGAACGGGCGAGGGGCAGAGAGAGAGGGAGACACAGAATCGGAAACAGGCTCCAGGCTCTGAGCCATCAGCCCAGAGCCCGACGCGGGGCTCGAACTCACGGACCGTGAGATCGTGACCTGGTTGAAGTCGGACGCTTAACCGACTGCGCCACCCAGGCGCCCCAAGAGAGACAACAGAATCTGAAGCAGGCTCCAGGCTCTGAGATGTCAGCACAGAGCCCAATGTAGGCTGGAAACCAAAAATTGTGAAATCATGACTGAGCCACCCAGATACCCCACATATATATTTCTTACTATAAACCATAGTATTTCATCTGCCAATCTCCTTTAGTCTGCCTGATCAACTTCTACCATTGTTTCAAAGCACTAGTCAAATGGTCATTCCTTAGGAAATCCATGCTGACTTATAGTAAGACAAATTTGGTTCTATGTTATTTGGGATTCCCATCAAATGGCTTATATGTTTTCATTACAGGTTCTTCCCATGTTTTAATGATGTACTAATCAATCTATCTCTCAATTTTATTGCTTGAGGTATCATATCTAGTCCCTAGTATAATACATGGCACCTGTTAGACCAATAGGAATGTTTGTTGGGTGAATGAATAAAGTCCTCTTATAACACACCTAGGACCAGTAAATTGTTTTGTCTAAATCCTAAATCATGGTTTAGGAACCTAGGTAGACAAATACCTGTGCACTTAAATTTAGACAAATTAACTCATATAAAGGACAGTCTGTTCGTTTGCATGAAAAAAACTAAACACTGAAAACCTTCATTATAAACTCACTAGAGTTTTTACCTAATTTGTAGCGTTCAGTCATGAATGTGCCATAAGGCCTATAATAAATCCAAGCATGGTCCTATCTCAATAGAAATTGTATATTTCCCCTGGAACTGAAAGTACAAGTTTCAATGTGGAAGGTATATAATCATCAACTTTTTTTTAAGTCCATAGATGTGTACTTTAATGACACATTAAGAAGCTATTATTTTTCAAATATGTTGGTAAGTTGTTTTTAAACTAATACTACTGGGGTGCCTGGGTTAAGCAATTGACTTTTGATTTCAGCTCAGGTCATGATCTCATAGTTTGCGAGGCCCTACATTGGGCTCCCCAACACTTGGGATTCTCTCCCTCTCTCTCTGCCCCTCCTACGCACTCTCTCTCTCTCTCAAAATAAATAAATCAACTTAAAAATTGTAAATAAATTAATACTACTAGTTTACAAACACACATGTATATATAATGAATGTTTTATCTGTATTCACTAAAGTTGGTTAATTTTAGATTGTAGAGCTGTTTTTGTTCAGCCCTAAAATAGTGAAAAAAATATTTAGGGAAAAACAGTGGTTATTTTTGGAAGATTAATTATCTAATAAACTGTAATTTCTGTTTAATTAAAGGCAAAATCATAGCCGCCACAAATTATTTTTTTCCTAGTAAATTTTGCACAGGAAAAAAACATACAAAGAATATTCACTAAGAGTGAATCGAATGTTCACCTCTGCTATAGAACAATGATATACAGTCACCAATTTATTTTATTATTCAAAGCAGAGAATAAAAACATAGCAAAGGCTTTTCTGGTTCTTTTTTGCTGGCCTTATTAAAATTTGTGTGGTTATTGCTTTGAGCAATACAATCAGAAGCCATAGTACGAATAATATTGAAGAATTAGAGAGGGGAGGTCAGATATGGAAAGAAAAGTCCTACATGAACGTATACAATATGTTCAAAATAAGTGAAATAAGTGACGAGAAACATATAACCAGACTTAACCTGAAGCAGTTATATTGAGAATGTTGGAGATGATGATTAAATGATCTTTTGAATTTCTGAGGTTAAATATAACACAAAAACATTAGGAAAGGTTTGCAACATTTCCATTATTGTGACACTTTCCTATTACCCTGAATGTTTCACAAGATGCTCGAAGTGATTTGCATGAAATTCTAAACATAGAGTGCCAGAAAAAGAAAATAAGAATGCTGGGCACCTCCCACATATGTACAGTAATTAAACATTAAACTAATTTCTTAAAAACAATTATTTCTTTGCTATTCATATTTCAAGTGAATTTAAGTAGCTGGAAAGACCTTCAGGATAGCTGGAGTTTTTATGTCTAGCTATATAACCTTAAAACTCTAGGAAAGAAATTAAACACCAAATACCTTGTATAAAACTTCCTACTGATGCATACTCTGAAGTCTTTGCTAATGAAATAGGTTTACTTGTTAGACATGGCAAAGATCATTAGGAACTCTACCTCCATTTGTTTTTTTTCCAACTGTAGAGGCACTTGGACTCAACATTCACATCATTTTTAAAATGAGGTTTAAGAGAAAGAAAATGCGTTATTATAGAACAGTACACTCGGAATATGATATTTTTGTAGAATTGACTGAAGATTTGTCTTCGTTTCAGAGTGCCCATTTAACATTTGATTTGGGGTGAGGAATGGAATGTCCTGGTGTTACTGCAAATCCAGAAGTGCATTATTTGTAGAGCAGAGAATTGCTGAAGTACTAGCAATTCCTATCAATCATTTTATAGCCTCCCAGAGATGCAAAGGGTGATTTCTGTTAGGTTGGAAAACAGTAACAAACAAAGTGGTAAAGGAACGGATTTTAGACAAAAGATAATTCATCTGTTGCAAACTTCTCGGGGTAACTCCATCTTCAGTCACTGCGGAGAGCATCACACTATAAGATTTTCAAATGCATTTAAACTTTTTCTATGATTTTTTCACAATTCTTCAGTTTTCCAAAATTAAAGCTAGACTTTGCCTTAGAGAAAGTAGAAAACAAACAAACAAACAAACAAACAAACAAACAAAAAACCCAGTGAGACCAAAAAGTTAATTTATTGGCTTTTGACTTCCAAAGCAGAAGTTTAAATCCATAGCCCAAAGAAAATACTGGAAGTACAAGCACATTTTATTTGCAAGAACCAGACTGTTTGGGAGGTAAAAGTCTGTTTTCTTTTAATTCCCAAAGCCGGACTTTGAATATATCAATGACAAAGCCGGAAGACGTAGAGGGTTTATGT